CCTAACAGTTGTGCTAAATTTAATTCCTATTCACAAGTAAAGAAAGCCAAAAACCAGGGAAAGAGTTCAGCTTGCTAAAACTGGTACAGATGATTCTAGAAACTAGGTCTCCTGCTTCCCAGACCAATGCTCTTTGCTAAATGAGAACTCACAGGTAAAAGTAATTCTTATCCCATGAGAATTTAAGAGCATGCATACCTTTTCCCCCCAAATTTCATCAGCTTACCTTGCTGCCATCTTTCATTGGAGCCATATATCTGCATCAGAGAATACCCTTTGATCAATCAACTGCTTAGATACCCAAATATATTTTCAGTTTTTATTGGTTTATTAGAAGGAAAAATGCATGCTGCTGCTGATGATATGTGTAATAACTGCAAGCATCTATTCACAGCTCAAGGAGTTAACTGCCCAGGGTGAAACTGTAATAGTTCAAAATGACAACACTCTGCCCCCTTCCACACTCTCTTTCCCTCACAACAGGGGAAAGGATGTGAGAAAACAAATCAACAGCATGTGATGGCCTCACTACATTCCCACAGATCCATCTGCTCAACAGATCTCAGGGCAAATACTCTCCTTGGAAGTAGTAGAAAGAGAAGGACACTTTGCAACGGGAAACAAACTTGGGTGTTACAACTTGACCTTCCTTGTCCCTTTCATAGGTAACTACATTTGAAGGGTACACATTCCAATGACAGGTTTTCTCTTCCCTCTGGTTTGCAAAACCTAAGCTTTCTAGCCAAGGTGTTTCAAACCTGCCTTGAAAAGAAAAACTTTGAAACACATCCATTTTCACGCCTGAAAATAGAAGAGTATAGCACAGATGGCCAAAAGGGCCAACATCTAAAGAGAAACATTAGTGCACCTTACTTTTGGTCACTTCTGAGAAATTTCTGCCAGTGTTATATATTCTGAAACTTGCATTTACCAGATTTTAAAACTTTTTTACTGCTAGTCCCAGGCCCTTTTATTTATTTATTTGCAAATATAGGTTTAAGAAAGCATAATGTAATGAGAAAGCCTGGAGAAAGAGAAAGAGATCTAAATCTGGGTTAAAATTCCATATTGGTTATTTAATAACTATATGACTTGGGGCAATTTAGGCAATTGTCTTTAGGCATCTATAATATTGCTGATGGTTGGAGTTTCTGTGGATTATACAAAAACAGGTGAGCACAGGGTAATATCATAGGCATTCAGAAAGTATTCCTATTCCTTCCTAATGCAAAGTGAGTGTTCAATCTCAAGATAAACTGAAAAGGAAATTAAATCAAATTAATCAGATATCAAAGCAGTTCTCAATATCAAACATAGCATTGCCCTAAAACATTACTTTCTAATCTTTTCATATCTGATATTATAAAGATATACAGCAACTAAAACATAGGACTTAAAATGATCCCTTTCTCTGATGTTCAAAGAAACAATCCTTAGGACAGTTCTTTGACAAATGAATTGGAGGACTTATATTTTATGTTGTAAACTGACTGCAAGTCAAAAATCAGTGAACAGTATCATGATGGAGTGTCTAATGTAAAAAAAAAAAAAAGGTATTCCTGGATAAAGATCGTCAGTTTTTCGTGACATGCACTAAGAATCACCTTAACAACATCAACTTTGAAAATAGAGAAGGATGGATTTGTGTGTGTGAGAGCCCAACAATTAGACAATGTTTAAGAAATATAATGGAGACCCACATGGATATTTAATCATAAATGTGTGATACTCAAAAAAAAAAATACAGTCCAAAGTTACCTACAAAATATATCCCCTAAAAGAACAAAGATGAAAGTAAATAACTGAACTCATAATTTGAAACATTTCCATTGAAAAGTGTAACAAACACTGAACATGTATGGCAGTAGTGTATATATGCATGCAAAGGTATATCGCTTTACAGGTGTACCTGAAAGGTAGGTACAAAGATGCAAATGGTTAAATACATACATTGAGTGATATTTTATCTTAAATATAAGTTTTTCAACTATTATAATAATGCTGAATAATCCTCTTTAGGAGGATTAAACTTCTAAGATGTAGATCCACTTTTTACTAGTAATTATTCACAGAAAGTTTTTTTTTAAAGAGAGAATTTTTTTTTAATATTTATTTTTTAGTTTTCAGTGGACACAAAATTTTGATTTTTATGTGGTGCTGAGGATGGAACCCAGCGCCCCGCGCATGCCAGGCGACCTCGCTACGGCTTAAGCCACATCCCCAACCCAAGTTTACCCCTCTATTGATCTTAATTCAGTCTTTTGCCTTGTCATCTCTTCTTTCCATTCATATGCACTAATTTTTTGGATATGTACAATTCAACCTATGCAAACTGATGATGGGAGGGGTTATAGTCATTGAGTAAGTTTGGACTCTTAGAGAGTTCCTGCAAAGAAATAAGATGAACCACTGTCAAGATAATTTAACTTAAAAAAAAAAAACAAAACACTGTCATTTTAAGTTTTATTTACTTTTCCCCAAGGGTTTAAATACTATAGAGCTACAGGTTGGGAAGAACTATTTCCCTAACCCAAAAGGGCTCGTTAATACTGAAGTAAATCAAACTAACAAAGAGATGCTTATACACTTTTCTATACAGTATTACCTCTAGTTTCCCTCCCACAACCCATACATGATCTGTATAAGAAATAAAACTGATGTTATTAACACCAACATAACTCCTGTTGTCTAAGGATAGAGAATTCCTCCACATATTATATGCTTTACAATCTGCCATTTAAAACTTCTCCTTCAATCTTGATCTCCAGACTCAAATGCTTTCAACTGATTTGTCAAGCAATTCAAAAGAGAAAAGCAAAGTTAAGAACACAGTATATACAAATTCAGAGAAAAAAAAAGACAAGAAATATCATCTACACATGGCACTAGATAATTTGGGAGTGTTTTCTTTGATTCTGCTCATAGATTTTCCCAAGAGGAAGTGGAACTCAGTTGGAAGAGTACAAATGTGTCCCTAACAGGGTCCCCAAGCTGAGAAAGTTTTGTTTGTGTTCAAAAAAGTTCAGCCTGGTATTTTTGGATTTTGTTTTTTGTTTGAGAGGCTCAAAATATTGTAAACAACTTTAAAAAGAACTGCATCCAGTAACTGTGAGAGACATAGCAGAATAAAAGCAACCATAATAATCAACAATGGCCCCATGGAGCTTGTGACGTACAATCATAAAAGTCTACATATTAACTTTGTGACTGCTAGACTTAACAGGAAAACAAATCCACCATGTTAATGAAGGGACATTATTTTTCTAAAGATTAATTCATACCATGTGTTATTAATCAACAGGGTAACTGAAAACTCATGTAAAAAAATGCTATTCCAGTTGAGCAGAACTTAATTGCATTATTGTTATTATGGCTGCTGCACTGGTTTCCCTGTGTCCCTGGCTCCTCGGCTCCACGTACTCATACACAGCACCACAGTATGGAGGGGAAAAGCAAGGAGTTAAAATCACATCTAGTAGGAACGGTTTGAAGAAAAATGTTTGTCTCTGGAAAGACAGGTCAAGTATGTACCCAGGCTGCCTTGAGAAGTAATTAAGCCTAGGCTGTTTCGTTTCAGAGTGTCCCATCTTGCACAACGTGGAAGCAGCTGTGGGAGATCACAGGCGTTGCAAAGTAAGACAGGCAACATCATCTAGCTCCTCCACTGAAACACCAGTTTCCAGGTGGCCTGAAAAAGCTCATAGCCTCTGCTATTCCAGCAAGCACAAAGCTAACCTGCCATCCCCATGCCAAACAAGAACCTTTTCAAGTCCGGAAGAAATGGAATTTAAATGTCCCAGCCACCGTTCAAAACATCTGAAAACTGGTTTTTGATCTGGGACTCCAGTCACTCCCCAAAACTGTTAGGCTACATGCCTCAAAACCTGCAGGTAGTCACAGACGTTGACTGCCCGAATTACAAGTTCCTCTTGCTGCCTAATGTTGTCAGGTTTGGGGATAACCAGTTAGGAAAAGGGAAGTGTACAAGTGTGAGGAATAGGAATGCGTCCCCGTCTTGCTCGTTTCCTTCCCAACATCCCTTAAAAAGAGGCTGAACACTAAAACTGTTGGTCTGGGGACCAACTACATCTCAGACCCTGGCTGAGCAAGGGAAAAGTCACCACTCCCGCTAGAACTCACAGTAGGATAGTCTCTGACTGGGAAGGGCCCAGAAACTTAGTCCCAGTAGAAAAGAAGAAAGAAGGGAATTTTCAGAGTCTTGGATATAAGAAGCTGGGAGAAGAGGGGCGGGGGTCGCCCATGTAGTCATAACAGCTCTCAAAATGCCGCTGAAAAATTGCACATTTTTTATGTGATTTAAGACTAAAGAGAACACACTGAGATTCTCCCCCGCCTGGGCTTCAGATGCCGCCCCCCCCCCCCCCCACCCCGCTTAGGGACCTGGGCATCCCACTGCTGCAGGTCTCCTCCTCTTTCCCTTTCGGGGGAGCTACAGCTCTGCCAAACCACAACGTCCGCCCTCCAAGTTCGCCTTCGCTAACCGCCCGACTCAGCGCCTGCGGCCAGCCACCTGCGCCCATCTGCCAGGGACCCCACAGGCCCAGGGTTGGGTGCCCGAAGTGTAGTTTGCATGGGGCTCAAGGTTTACGGGGTTTTTGTTTTTAAAACAAAAAGCCTTAGCGGCTCATCGCCCCCTCCTCCCGGGCCCGCGCCACCTTCCCTCCCCACACTCGCAGTACCACCCCGACACACGCGTTGCGAGGTGCCTCTCCCGCCAGACAATGGGTTCGGGGCTGGCCCGGCAGCCCGCTCCGAGCCCCTATCCCCATCCCGGCACCACAAGAGGTCTGAACGTGAGGTACTCGAGGGGGAGGGAGGCAAGAAGCAAGGCAGGGAAACCACAATGGAGAAGGTGAAAGCCTCCCCCTTGGGACAGGAGGCTTGCTCCCCGCGCGGAGCGAAGGGGAGGGGGCGGAGGTCAGCTGCGCCGCCTGGCCGGGGGCCCGGGTCCCCGCGCCCCGCAGCCGACGCGCACTCACCAGCACGATGGCAAATCGCTCCTCCAGTTCACCTGGCTCGGGCATCGGCAGCTTCAAAGGCACGTTGTGCGCTCTGAAATCGGTCTGCTGAGAATCCATGCTCCCTGCGTTGCCCATGTCGGCTGCGCGCTGGAGTCAGGGGTTGCTCCGGGCCCCTCGCTCCCGTGTCGGAAATCACAACAGCTCCCGGCGGTCGACTCTCGCCCGCTGGCGGACCTGCCTTGCTCCCCGCCCTCCGCCGCGCCCCGGAGACTGTGCAGCGCACGCCTCTCCTAGCAGCGCTCCAAGCCCAGCCGCCCCCCGGCCTCCCTCATGCTCTCCGCCGCCCCAGCGCGGCCCCGGCCTCTTTTCCACAGGAGGGGTCGTCAGGGCGCCGGGCGCCTATGTGCATGTTGCTCCGCTAGCACACCGCCCCCTGCCAGCGATCGCGGTCAGCCGGCGCGTGCTCCCTCCTACTCGATCTCCCGCCGGGGCCGCGGCCGCAGCTGACACTTCCAGACCCCAGCCGGCCACCCCAAAGCACGTTCAACGAACACCTCAGGCAGACAAATGCGGCTCCGCTCTCGCCGACACAATGCCCCCTCTCGCCGGCCCCCGCCCCCGGCCCAGCTCCGCCCACCGGCCCCGCAGACTGCCGGGACGAGTAGTTTCTGCCCTAACTGTCCGGACGCAGAAACCACGCCCGCTCTGAAGGGCCGCGCCGGGTTGGGACTGTTCGAAGCAAAAGCAAGCTAGACGCCTCTGGAGATGGTTTATGTCACTCTTGATCTCCCACACCCCAACAGTAGAAATTAATACCTCCGGCACCTCGTATCTGACCCTTAGGCACGTTTGACAAGTGGATGAATGAATCCAGTCAGTGGGTGAATGCAGGCATTCTGATTTAAATTCAGAAGATCTTTACTATTGGAAAGCATATAGTTGAAGAAGGGACTTCTAAAGTATTGCCTACGTTATTTAATAAGCTGGGAGTGGGACCATGGGTGCCTTTGTGTTCTTTTTTTCTTCATATATGCCGTTATATGTTCTTTAATGTGACTGAAATGTTTTAAACAGAAATATATCATTTATGATATATGTAGTTAGATCCTAGGAATTGAGTAAGAAAGACTCAATTCTACTAAAAAAAAAAAAAAAAAAAAAAAAAACTAGCACTCATAGCTGGGTGCTGTGGCGCACTCCTGTAATCCCAGCGACTCAGTAGGCTGAGACAGAAAAATCGCCAGTCTCGACAACTTAAAGATACCCTGTCTAAAAAATAAAATGAATATATAAAAGTGGCTGGGAATGTAGCTCAGTAGTAGAGTACCCCTAGTACCTCAAAAAAATAATAATAAAACTCACCTGTCAAACACCTATTATGCTCTTATGTATGAGTTACTCTTTTCCATGGTGGGGGGCGGGGAGTGTTGCCCATAGTCTGCAATGCCTCCCAGTCTAGTAAAGAAAAAAATTTATACAAATAACCATATTTTCTATGAGATTAATAGAATGACAGTATCTTGGGAGGTAACTCTTATTCCTCCAAAGCAGGCTTGTGCCAGGTATTTTCAGAAAAGTCTGAGCCCAAGCCTGTCCTCTAGGGTGTGTTTCAGACGATTACTACCCATTGTGAACCCTTGGAAACAGAAACAACCTTACCAGGTACCCGTGTAGTAGATTTCAAGGGCCTCCACCTGATTTACTTGTGGCAGAATTCCTGCATTTCGTTCTTTCATAGGGTAAGGTGGTGTTTCGTTAACCTTGTTTATTAGACTCACTTAGGGGAGCTTTTTGTTAAAACTACACACACCTTGGTCCCTGCATATATACCAGAATCTCCCTAAGCAGGAGCAAGTATATTTTTAACAGGGTCACTCTAGTAATTCTGATGTGCATTTATCATTGTTATTCTCATGATTAGGAGGAAGTGCATCTAGATGAGGTAATTACCACAATTCAGTCACCAAGGACCACATTTCATTTGGCTTTATAAACTCCAAGATAGATTGAGCATAGTAGATGCTCAATGACTTGTTGAAGTAACAGGAGGCTTTCACCAAAAATGTAGAGAGCAGATACCCACAAATATATTGCATATGTATCCTAATAAATAAACCACTTCTAGACTGTTTTAAAAAGGGAGAGACTATAAAATTCTGAATAAATGCAATCTGTATTTCTAAAGTGAGACTCTATCAAAGTTAGTGACAGCTGCCACTGATCTAAGAGTAAACAGATACAGATACACCAAACTAATGAAAATGAGTAAGAAAGAAAGCAGCTAGCTAGATCAGGTGAGACATTTTTAACCCAAGAATGTATTAATTTTACTGTAATAATTGGGTCTGAATGACTCAGAAAATAAGTCCACCCAGAGAATTGCCTGTCTGGGCATAAAGTCTGAAATTCTTTTCTGTAGTCAAGAAAGCCTTTTTATTACATTTATGGCTCCCTCTGGTCATATTTCTGCCAGTAACCAAGACCTTTTTCTCCCCTTCAGTCTTATCACATCTAATTTCTCTTATAATCTCACACTTTGAGAGAAGCCAAGGACAAAGTGTGCAAACTCATGAACCAAAAGTACTTTTTGGCCATTTCAAGTTTTGCCTTCTCTAATATTTGATTGTTATTTATAACTATTATTAAGAGTAGAAATAAACATTCCATAGGATTGTGAAATTCCTGAGGGAATTAATCAACATATCAGGAAAATTTTTGTTTTGGTGTGAGCACAATGACAAAGAAAGGAGAAGACATTTCTATTACTTAGACAGTAGCACTTGTCATCCCCACAAAATTAAAGTCAGGCAATCATTTTAAACTACATATGCCATTTTCTGACCACTAATATATATGATTTATTATGGCCAATGTTGTAAAATATGGAAAAAAGAAATTGTCTTTTGAAACTGTCTATTCAGAGTTGGAGATGTGATAGTTGATAGAGTTCTTGCCTAGAGGAGACAAAGCCCTAGGTTCGATTCCCAGCACCACCAAGAAAAAAACAAAAATCTACTCAACTGAAATGTTAGAACATTCTAAGCATCAAGAATTTGGAAGCTATGCCAGGGATGGCTTGGTCAGGGATACCCCAAAACGATTGTGATTGCTTTCAAAGATACTCTTTCATCTTTTGTAACAAATACTCCTACAAGATTAGCATTTGAGGGATTGAAACTGTTTTATGGGTATTTCCTCAAGTTTTAAGTGTAAGGAACAGCTTTGTAGCTAGGTTTACTTATTATCCTAAAAAGGGAGTAATAAAACCCTAAAATTCTCCTGGTTTGTGTAGTTATGTAGAAATGAGGTAATTGATGTGATAAACACAACCACTGATAGTCTCGGATCAAAACTGTGAAATAGTAGTATCCAAAATTGTAGCAGGATTGTTACTGACCAATATATATCTGCAAAAGTTTCATGATTCACCTATTCATCTACTTTCATTTGAAAAGTAGTTATTGAGCACTAATCAAGAGATACTGCTCTCAATTTTAAACAATGTTTAAACCCGATTTTTTCAATTTTTGCTTCAGATAGCCTTCTTCAAACAATGAACTGACAAAAACATATCTCAACTCTCCAATTCCCCACTCTCCTCTTGAACCAATTAGGAATGCTTTTGTCATCCAATTAATAATGACTTTAATAGTTTCTTGATATTTTTCTTATATTTCAAGAAACCTGAAGAAAGGTGGCTGCTAATATTTGTTCAGAAACTCCATAAAACTATGACTAGTATCTGTGTGATGTCTTGGTCCTTCCTAGGTACTTACAAAATAGCTGCCAGAGTGCTATGATCCAAGTCTGTATTCAGGGTGGGATGTAAGGTAAAGAGACAACATTGTATAAGTCTAAACTCCCCATGCAAAAAGGAATTCTCCTAGCAGACAGCTTTCCAACTTGAACTGCAACATGGGCTCATTCCTGGGTCTTCAGTGTGCTGACTCACTAGCAGATTTTGGATTTGCCAGTCTCCATAATCATGCAAGTCAATTTCTTAAAATAATCTCAGCATCTCTCAATATAGATCAGAGATATAATTCCTTCTTGCACAGTATATACATGGACTATCTATATATGTGTATGTGTGTATGTGTGTAGAGAGATAGGGGAAATATGTATACAATACACACAAACACACACACACAAACACACACATTGTTGGTTCCATTTCTCTGGAGAACCCTATATCAATTAATAAAAAAGGCTAAATGATTTCTTGCTAATATCAGGCATGAAGAAAAAATATCTGCTCTTATAATTTTTATTCAATATTTATTTACTATTGTCCTAGAAATTCTAGCCTGTGTAATAAGACGAGAAAACAAAATTAAAGGTATTCAGTTTCAAACAGAAATAGTAATCTGTCTTTATACACAGATGACATGATTTTCCACATAGAAAATTTTATGGAATAGAATCTTTTAAAAAGCAGCCAAAAGTAATATTTTAGTTTAACAAGGTTTCTAGATATAAAATACACAAGCCTCAAATAAATGTATTACTACATAGTAGGAATAAACCTTCAAAATATTTAAATAGACATAATATTCATAATAGCATCAAAAACATAAAATACTGCTGGGCACAGTGGTACATACCTGTAATTCCAGTGGCTTGAGAGGCTGAGACAGGAGAATCATAAGTTCAAAGCCTGTCTCAGCAAGGATGAGATGCTAAGCAACTCAGGGAGATCCTGTCTCTAAATAAAATACAAAATAGGGCTGAGATATGGCTCAGTGGTTGAGTGCCTCTGAGTTCAATCTCTGGTACATCCCCAGCCCCACAAAAAAAAAAAGAAAAGAAAAAAAAAATATATATATATGTATATAAATACACACATAAAAATTTTTATGTAAAAAAACTCATGTAAAATTTGAAAGCAAATCAGTGATTGTGGAAGGGAGGAAAATTGGGATGCAGGAATTCCAAAGATTCTCAGAGCACTTTTGGGGGTGTTGGATATGATCATTAACTTGATTATGGTGATAGTTTCACATATGCCAAAATCATATTGGACAGTTTAAATATATATGTACTATCCTATTATTATTAATTATACTTCAAATACATATATATATATATATATATATATATATATATATATATATAATACTTGGGAATAAATCTGA